TCTGTTGGCAGTTATAGCAAACTATCGGCTTCTTGGCCTCGAACGCCTTTTTCTGTTGCCCTTCCGCCCTTTTCTCGGGTGCTTCTTCCTTTCTCTTGTTTTTCTCATCACCGCTTCCTTTGGAGTCTAAACCCTCCTTCGGCCTATACCGACCCGACTTTGTCCATCGCGGAGGCTTGTCGGCCCGATATTTACTAATCTCCCTCCTAGGGACATCCTCGCCTTCGAGGGCACGGCGATTTACGTACTCCTCTGCGAGCTCTGCCGCTCTCGTGATAGTATCTACTCCTTGTCTATCCTGAACCCAGTACCTAATGTTTTCAGGTAGACGCCGAAAGAATTGTTCCAACGCAAAACACTGCAGAGTCTTTTCCGCGTCGCCAAGCGCACCCTCCTCTCTAAGCCATTCCTCCAGATTTACCTTTAAGGTGTACGCAAACTCTGGGTATGACTCGTCTTTGGCTTTCTCGATCTCACGAAATTTTCGCCTGAACGCCTCCGCTGACAGTCTGTACTTTTTGAGCAGACTCGCTTTGACTCTGTCATAGTCGTCTGCGTCTTCTTTACCCATACGGGCTATAATGTCAGCTACTTCACACGGCAGCAGCGTAAGCAAGCGCTGGGGCCACGTGTTTTTAGCAAAATTTTCCCTCTCGCACGTGCGCTCAAAGTGCACCAGAAAAAGACCCATGTCCCCTCCTACCGCGTAGGATGGCATCAAATCTGTCATTCGGCGCTCTCTTTCTCGTGCCACTGCGCTAGCTCCGTTCATTGATTGAGCCTTTGCTAGTTCAATTTCTAGGCGTTTCATTTCCATACGATCGATACGTTCTCTTTCCCTTTCCTCTTTTTCCTCATGACGTCTCTGTTCCTCTTTTTCCTCACGACGTCTCTGTTCCTCTTTTTCCTCACGGAGCCTCTGCTCCTCTTTTTCCTCACGGAGCCTCTGCTCCTCTTTCCTTTGCGTAATAGCCTCCAAGCATTCGCTCAGCTCCTCGTCATCTGCCCCGATCTTCTCGATGGCGTCAATGATCTCCTGCTTTCTTTTCGTCTCGGCAATTACCTGGCCCAGCTCTCGGGCCAACTCTAACAACTCTGGCTTTTTTAGTCCCTTCAAATTCATGGCGGTCCTTGGTGCTGCTAACTCTTTTAACTAAACAACTTTGACGTACTATCAATACTTCCGTCCACCGTTACCAAATCACTGCTTTGTTTACAATCCTACGCAAAGCCTGGTGATATCTCAGCAAAGAAAAGCAGTGCACTCACCCTATGCAGTCATGAATTCGGACGCGTTCCTTCCAGTGTTGTCAGTGATGCCACGAAGCAGTTTTGTCCGACTCTAGGTCCTCCAGACAGCAGGTCTCAGCATTGCCTCCTGGTCGATGAGCTCGATCCCACCGCTGCCATCCAGTTGTTGGGACCTGAGTCCTGTGGGTCTCGTCGTTGGTAGCTGGCTCCCATCGGACTCGTCCCTTATAGCGAGAAGCAATGCTTATATGGGAAAACAGAGAACAGACGTTTATTTACATTAGAGAGAGGTCAATAAGAAAGTTTAGATATATAGTGGCGTTCTTCGTACATGGCGAGCTCTCCACTCGAAAAAGCACACCGAATGAGCCGTGGGGGCTCATTATAAAGGGTCTGTCCTCCCCAGATCCCTAGATCGGGGACCGCGTACAGAGGGCACCGTCCAATCACGGACCACACATTACCCGCGAGGGTGACGAGCACGCACGGTCCACGCGAACGTTCAAAACTGAAGCGTGGTCACCGCACGGCCATGTGGCACGAACGCGGCTCCCCCCCCGTCAAGGTGTGTCGCTGGGCGAGGGGTCTGAAGTTGATGACTGCATCCATCGAAAGGGCCGCCGTAAACAAGCTTCAAATGGTGCCGAACGATTCGTTCAATTAGCGGGACGATTCCCGGCCGCCGCCGCCGCCGTCATCTTCCAAAGAAGAAGCTGTACCGGTGGTCTCCCGAACTGCTCACGGCGCCGCGGCGGCAGGACGCCGCACCCTCCGGCCAGGTGGGAACAATACATGGCGGACACAGGCCGCCAACCCGTTTGGCGACTCAAAAGGAACATCAAAAGGAACGCCGATCCATTGTCAGACCTGGCGCCGGTCCTAACAGCCCCCGCTGAAAATTGTAAATTTTTTCTCTCTTTATGCTATGGCATTTTTTTTTTCTTTTTTTCGGTGGGGGGGGGGGAGCTGGCAGAGTATGGTGGCAAGAAGGGGGAGGTGGTTAGGAACAGGAAGTGTGCTCAGCGCTCCACGTTTCCCTTGCCAGAAAGGGTCTCTCTGCGCGCTAGAGAAATTTCCTCAGCTTGGAAACTGCTCTGGTAAACAAAACTTCCCTTGAAAGGAAGCCTTCCTCTGCTTGGAAATGAAGCAAGAATAAGATCCATGCTTTACAAACTTACGCGTACTGTGTGCAAGCTTCATAAGAGAACAAGTTTTATCACAGTACTATCTCGTGGTACAAACGTACTTTGCCACCGGGTGTCATAACATGCGGTTAATCATAGCGGCTTCATGGTGTAAAGCCGCCCCCCCCCCCCCCCATTGCAAAAGGACCGCACCTTACCGCGCTTATTCCCCCAGGACCACGTAGTGGTTGCATAGCAAGTTCGCAAACAATTCACGCGAATACTTGCTCGTGTTTTGAAGCATGCTATTCATTACACGGCATGCAGCATATGTGGTAACTGCCCGCATTTTTCGCTATCGCGTTCAACCCTTAAAGGCGAAGCTTATGAGTCACCCAGATTTTAAATACGATAGTTTTCTTGGGGACCTTCTACACAAAAATTTTGGTCTGTCTGTCTGTCTGCCTGCCTGTCTGCCTGTCTATCTGCTGTCCGTCTGTCTTTACACTTATCTGTTTGTCCGTTCTTAACGGTACCCTAAATGGCACCAAAGTAGCCAAACGATACTCCAAACGGCCGACTCCATTCACAGCGCCCACAAATATTGCTCAAGATTCACCGTTCTCACTTGTGCAATTGTCAATTAAAAGCAACCATTGCGCATATTTGAGGCACCATATAAGCCCATCAATATTCTGCATGTGTGTCTCTTACTAGGAAAGGCATACACAAGTAATTCTAAGGACCGTAGCGTTTATCACGTTTCGCTGACCATGGAACGCATGCACAAAAAGTCAAGTGTTTCTAACGCTTTGCTAAGACGACGTGGTGGTGGTACCTACCCGTCGCCTTGCGTTCCACATCTTATCACCTCCCAGATGGTTGCGCAGGGCGCGCGCACTTCGTTTTTCGTGATAACTCCCGGATAGCGTTCATGTCTCACGTGTGACGTGACTTGCTGCGCTCGTTCGCCTCTGCTGCACCCTCGAGGCACTCTAACGCAACGCCTCCAGAATACCGTTCACCGATTTTCTTGCACTGAACATCAAACAAACGTTTTGTTCCCGCTCTCCAGATACAAGGCTATTGTCTTTCGACGACATTTGCAGTGTAACATGCAGATACGGGGCCAATTTTTCAATCTCTTCTCTCTCCCCCAGAATCATTACGCGTACAACGTAATTGCAGTGCTTTCGGAATTGGGAGCTTTGGAAGCTGTGTACTTCCAGCGTTTTCCACCGCACTCATAATCAGACTAGATTTGACCAATGACGTCATACTGACGTTGTGATGTAACTAAATTTTGCAACCTGGCATGTCATATAAGTAAACGTTCATTGAGTTTCATACAATATTACATAGAAAGGAGCCTGACGCTGCGTTCGTGTACCCCTTTGTATACATTCTGGCAAGTATGGGTTTCGGGTTGGATTGAGTAGGCTACGAATCTGTTTTTAGAGTTTCAGTTTAGTCCTTTGAGCAGCGTGGGTAGTGCGGTATGTTGCAAAGCACTTAAGCGGGGCCTTGCATTTCAAAGGGACTCACGACCGCGTGGTGTCTTCGATTTGCTGTGATGTTGGAGCTTTACAACTTGTTTTTGACAGTTGAAGCGAGGCGTCATCCACTCACCACTACGCAAATATGTGCGTCCAATGCCGGTGCAGGATATTGTATCGAGTTCATGTTTTTTCACATTTGGTTCTTGCCAAAACTGCTGTAAATCGGCTGCAAAATGACAGCGAACCTAAGTAAACTCACCGTCACGCTCTTCTGACTCGATTTTACAACGAAACGAGAGGTGTGTCGGTGGCAGACAATGCACCCGGACAGATGCACCTGGCACTGCAGCACACGATACGTTAAATGTTTCTCATATAATACTGTACTGATATTTCCATAAATAGATGATGCGTACTTTCCAGCGTGAAATAAGAATGTTTGTTTTCAAGCGTTGTAAAAAAATAATTTATCTTGATGCTAAATTTGGAGCGCAATGGCAGGGCTATGCATACTCTAGTGGTTAATTTATTCATGTTTCACTTCTACCTCGTGGTCACAAAAGCTTTTTGCAAAAATATTTACGTACAAATATTAAAGCACCTTTCAATTCGTTATAATTTTCGGAAATTTAACTTACGTTGGCTTTGGCCTTAGAGTGAGGTGAGCAACCCTTGACAAGCTTCAAGCCGTGGTGGCTGAAATTATTTTTTAGGCTTGAAAGTTTCAAACACAAATTTTATTTAAACAAAATAACAGCGTCACAATAACTACAAAAAATGAAGAAATGAGTGCCAGAAATATAGAAAGAAAGAAAGGATTTCCCAACCTGGATGCATTTACACCACCAATGATAATGATTGTGTTTTCGTAATTATCAACTTATAGCTTTGATGAAAAATACCTTTTGCTTTGCCTTTTATCACTTGCCACCCTCCTGAACTTTCTAAGCTTGTTACCACTCTTAGAAGTGGTCAATCCAACCCCACATCTTAAAGTATGTGCATTAGTCATTTGAGTGAGAGAGGTGCCCTGCGCGGCAGATAGTTTAGGAAGAAAAACCTTGAGAAACATTCAAAGCGCTAAACAACTCTGATTAGGACTAGTAGCCGGAAACTTCAAGGAAAGTTATTTATAATAACAGTATATTTTAATAATATCTTGAAAAAGCATCAGAGCAGTAAAAATCAAAGTCTCAGAGGGCTTGAAAGGCAGAGACCACGGATAGATTTGTATTAGTTATGATGGAAGTATGAAGAAGGTGAAGCGGAATATTTCGGTTGACGTCAATGCATCAACACCGGCCTATACGATTAGAACTGGTGCTCAGACTGGCAACTATATTCACATGCAATGTAAATATCCAAATTAATGCTAGAAGTTCCCGTCAATCTTTGATAGCCTTTCCGTAACCAACGAAACTCTCAATTGCAGATCAAAATTTCACAACAGCCTGAATAGACACCGGTACCCTTGACTTTTTGGCAGCTGGCACCAGCCACCACGGTTCCGCATCTGAAAGGTGAAGAAAGAAAAATAACAAGAAAACAATGTCGTCATGTGGGACTGCAAAGCGCAGCAGCATCAACCACTATTACATTTTACTGATCCATTATTTTATCTTAGAAACAACTTAGTGATCTTGAGGTAAATAATTGTTTGCTAACTTCATTGACTTGTGTTCTTGTGTTAAAGATTGAGCTAAAACGCACCCTTCTATTGAAAGGTGACCGGTTTGCCCATCGTGTGTACTGCAAGTCTACATTTCGCAAGGCTCTTCCAGGCTCAGGGGATGCCCTGGTGCTACTTTCGTTCTGTTGAAGTCACATTCACCTGAAAAATTTAACAAAAATGAATGCGTTCCTCGGCTTCATAAGGAGAAAGAAAACACAAACAAAAAGATGCATGGCAGCCAGTTATCGGACTGACTGGCTACGCTGTACACCGGGGAAGGTGGTCAGGGGAATGACAGATGATCGAAAAGAGTGTTTAAAAAAAGAAGACAAAAGAACACTAATCAGTGGGCACGGTGAAGCGGCTGGAAGGATGCTGCTGACGAAACACTTCTTCTTTGCTGTACAGACCATATTGTTCATGCTCGCCGGGCTATCGGAACCTTGCACTACCGGGAATGAAGTTGCATCGACTGCACTTGTCACTGCTGGCTACTGCCCACTGCCCTCATTGAATCTGCACAACCTAAATACGCCCCTTCTTAACAATGCATGTCTGTGACGTCTTTGTTGCATCGCCCTTTCAAAGACAGGCTGCATAGTTGGTCCTTCAGTGCGCACGGCGAACTGGATGGAAAGATGCCGCTAACGAATCGCTTCTTTTTTCTTTGCTGTACAGGTCATGCTGTACATGCTCGCGGAGCTATTACAACCTTGCACTACCGGGAATGAAGTGGCGCCGACTACACTTGTCACTGCTGGCTACTGCCCATGGGTGTCATCGAATTTGGACAAGCTGGATACGCGCCCATCGGACGACGCACGTCTGTGACGTCAATGTTAGATAACCTTTTTAAAGACAGACTGCACAGTTGGTCCTTCAGTGGGCATGGCGAAGAGGCTAGAAAGATGCCGCTAACAAATCGTTTCTTTCTTTTTTTGCTGTGCAGGCCATGCTGTTTATGCTCGCCGGACTATCGGAACCTTGCACTACCGGGAATAAAGCTGTACCGGCTACACTTGGCCTGACAGAGAGTAAATAGAAAAAAATATATTTTAACTGGGGATAAAAAGTTTATCTCGGTGGAGTAATTGAATGGAACAACTGTTCGTCGGGCGAGATGCAACTGTGAGGGCTAACGGTAGCCTGGTAAGGTGTAAAAGTCGGGAATAACAGTTGCCCAAGAAGGTGTAAATGTGAGAACGATACATTAGTCCTTTGAGGTGATTTGTGGGACTAACAGTTACCCTAACCGCTATGCTGTAGATGTGATGACTAAATGTTACTAAATTAAGATAGTCTCTGGGGAGTAACTATCAGAGCTGGTGTCATTTTTTTCCCAAAAAGAATAATCGTTGTGGCAGCCCCATTAGTCTCCAAAAGGACACACCACACATCCTTTTAACACCCTTTTGCTTTAGATTGTACCAGAGTTCCTCAAGTCCGAGCGTGGTAAATTTTAGTACTACCTTAAACAAAGTAATGAAGCAGTTTCTAAAATACTAGTTGTTGAGGTCTAAATAACTGCTCTGGCACTAATTGCTGATCATTTTATTTAAATACTTTCAAAATGTCTTTTCCGAACCACAGTATTATGAACTGCGCGACCCTATTCCTATAAAACCAGATGATGTTGTCATAACTCGTGAGGGTGTTCCGCAAATGTTACTTAACGTTAATCCTAGAAAATCGCCAGGGCCTGAACCTATTAGTAACTGATGCCTACTTTGCTATGCAGAACAAATTACTGACTACCTTACTGCCCTTTTTGATGCATCACTCAAATTCGGTGAGATGCAAGACGAATGGCGTATAACTCGTGTTGTGCCGATTTTTGAAACAAGGTGAACACCATTCCTTTTCAAACTACGCCATTTTTCTATCACTAGTAGCTGCTGTAAAATCTTAGAGCATATTATTGCCAATTATGATAACACATCTTTATCAAAAAGTAATATTTTACCGTCATATCAACATGGTTACCGAATAAATGTATAACACGGGTTCTAGATATATCTGGACAGACTGTGTTTTAATTAGATTTTAGTAAAGCCTTTGAGAAGGTTTCTCATGAAAAAACTTTTGTTCAAGCTCAAATAGATTGGGCTTCGTTCGGGAATAATGTGGATACATGTGTATTTACGGAACTTATTACGCAACAAATTACCCAACTTATAACATCCAAACGTTTGAATTTCGACAGATGATCAACCAACATTTCTACACAAAAGTATTCCTGGTAGTGTTACAATAAGTTTGCTCAACTATGTGAAACGGCTATCTTCTAGAAAACAAGTCATAGCCAAAAATATTTACTGGCACTTGTCCTTGCTTGTACTAGGGCTTTCAAAAATATTTTTTCCCCAGGACTATTGCCGACTGGAACAGTTTACCAATAAGTGATTTTAAATCCGAAGATGTTGAAAAACAACTTGAAGTCTTTTTTTGTCTAGTTTAGTTTCGAATGATGTATGGTTAAAGCTTGTTTGCAGTGGCCGAGTGAATTATTTGTAGGCTTTTGCTGTGCATGTTTATTGTTAGTAGGTCGTAGCACTGCTACCTAGGAGCTCTAAAAGTCGTCTGATAATGTGCTGTGAGAGTGTACGATTTTTATTTTTGTCGTTGTCCCTTCTGCTTGGGCCTAAGCATAAGCCTGCAGAATCTGTAAATAAATAATACAATATACGACATCGCATAAAAATTCTCTAAGACCAATAGTCCATGAGAAGTGCAATAACGCTCTCAAGAACTTCTGCGCCGATTACGGTCTCGGCCATTGTTCTAAGACCCCTCCTTTGACAATGGGTGATCTTCAAGCCCTGTTAACGCTTTCAAAAGTTATTTTCTTGGTACACTGAAGCGAGGACACTAATGGTGAAGGGTCTGAATCGTCTCATCGCAGCTACATTTATTACATGTCAGGTAGCTGGTGATTTCCATTCATAATCAGCAAGCATTTGTGAAGACCATAACAAGCCACAGGCGGCACAGGGGCGTCTTGTCAGATATTCGAGGTGGGTGACAGAGCTGAGGACTTTAGACCATAGAGTAACTTAAAAACTTCAAGTGTGGTCACTCGGGCCAAAAAGCGACCGAGCTACGCAGCTTTACCACAGCTATAAGATTGCATCACATCACTCACTGCTTCAAGAAAACAAGCGCACTAGTTGTTTACTACAGTACATTTGCTAGCGCATTATACGTCTACGTGTTTTTGCGACCGTGATAACGGCCTAAATTCATCTTTATTGTCTGCGATTGTGCGGTGCTATATCGTCGTGCTAGGATCAGGCATAAATTGGATGCATGAGAAGTGCACATTGCGTCGACGCGATGTCAACATTGTCACGCTCCGTGTTCATGAGCGTTTGCGGTAATAAAGAAGTGCGGGTAGCAGCAAGAACACGCTATAAAAGATGTGCGATAACGTGCCCAGCGTGCGCCGTGGGCTTCGTTTGTTTCGTCTGCCTATCAGCTTGGCTGCAGCTAGTTACAAACGCTAGCAATACCGCGGCCGCTGGATAAAAGCACACAGGTGCGGCCTGCTGCGTGTAGCCGCCGAGTGTTGGGGACAGAAAGAGAGCGTTGTCGACAGTTCCTGCTGGAACTTTTGAGAGCGGCGCTAGTAGTAGGAGATACTTCGGCGAGGCGTGCTAATGAGAGCGCGCCTTTTTTTTTTGTGAAGCGGTGTGAGTTTACGGGCAACGATAGCCAACAGTTGTGTTACTTGTGATGATACCGGCGCATTGCGTTACACTGGCGAGTGAAAGAGCAGATGAAGCGGCCCGAAAAGGACTTCAAAAGCAATACTACAGGCGAACCTATTTCACTAAATCAGATGCGTCCCAGCTGGCTAAAAGGCTTGCTTCCGAAACAAAGAAGAGTCTCTCGAACCTTCTGATGAATCATTATGCTTTCCTGTACTGTATCGGCCCGCATCTAAAAACTAGGACTCCCATCCAGAATCCCTTTACACCTGGAAACTCTGTACCATCGACTCAGGCTGAGAAGCGCTTATGGAAACAACTTACGGTACCGCTTTGGTCAGGTATAAAGCCCATATAGCAATAATTGTGACTCCATAAAAACCAGAACATATCTTATTTGAAGGTCAAGCGTGCGCTCTATGAACACTGCATGCATTGGTTATACCAAAGAACTTTATCGGTTGATTGCGTCTTGGACACTTTCCGCAGCTTCACGCAAGACAGGCATGCGATGAAACTTTTATTTACGTATTTAGACAATATCGGTCAGCTAGACAAACTGCAGTGGCTTCTAGAAAACTCGTCAGGTAATTCTGTCAGCACACGTCCCCACCGAAGAGACAAAAAATGTCTGTATATTTATTTTTTCCTTTCTGTTTTATTTTAAATATTTCTCCTCTCTCTATTCTTGTGTTTCATTCCCCAAATTTCTTCCCCACGCAGAGTAGCAAGTCAGTGGTATACACATGCCGGCTGAATTCTCTGTTTTTCAATAAAGAGTTCTCTCTCTCTCTCTTTTGTGCTTCTTACAAACCAAAGCCTAGATCAGCTGGGTAGCTTGAGCGACAGCATGCCGAAGAACTGTTCCGTCCCCAGCGCACGTCAAGCGCAAAAAAAAAAAAGATTCCAATTTGGCCTATCATGAATTTCCTTCAGATGCAGAACGCCTACAGGCTTAGCTCAGAATCATCTCCAAGCTGGGTACTGGAGGAAAAGAAACGAGGTGCATACCAAGCGACCATTTTTTGGTTTGTTCCCTGTACTTCACTGATAATGACTACAAAAAAGACACTAAACTGCAATTGTTCTTAGCAATGTGCTGTCCCAGTGCTGTTTCCGATTTACCCTTTAGATATGCTAAAGATGTGTGCTCCTAGGATAAGGAAGCTTCCTCGAAGAGAAGTAGAAGATGGCGGTACATAAGCTCTTATGAACAATAATGCCCTAAGTGGCCCAGATCAAAGCAGGCATGGATATGTTGAGCCTGAAGTGAAGATGAACATGTTGCTGCTGCGGCATTGTTGGAGGCAACATCTGACTTTGCGCTGCATACTGAAAGTGAGCACAAAACAAGCTCGTCTACGGCTAAAATGACCCAGACAGACTTTTATCTGAAGCGGATAATGAAAGAGACGAGGAAAAAGAAATGAATATTTTGCAGCAGAAAATCACC